TACGCTCACCCAGAGAGAGAGAGAGAGAGAGAGAGAGAGAGAGAGAGAGAGAGAGAGAGAGAGAGAGAGAGAGAGAGAGAGAGAGAGAGAGAATATAAACACCCCTGTAATTCATCAATTATGAAAAGGCATTTGACTCTGGACAAATACCAGCAGTATTAGATGCTATTCGACAACAGGGAGTAGAGGAGGTATACTGTAAAATATTGGAAGATACATACAAAGATGGAACAGCAACCATCAAGTTCCACACAAAAACCGATAAAATACCAATTAAAAAAGGCGTTAGACAAGGCGACACCATCTCACCAAAATTGTTTGCAGCCTGCCTCGAAGAAATATTCAACAAACTAGAATGGGAAGGAAAGATTATCAAAATAGGAGAATACCTAAACAATCTAAGATTTGCAGATGATATTGTTCTTTTCAGTGAATCAGCAAATGAAATGCAGCAATTAATCGATCTGAATAGAGAAAGTCTGAAAGTCAGACTTGAGATGAACACGAAAAAGACAAGATCATGTTCAACTGAGTTCAAATCGTACAGATGCATGCACAAGGCGAAGCGCTAGAGGTAGTAGACAGGTATATATATCTAGGGCAACTCGTACAGTCAAACACATCTAGCGAAGAGGAAATAAAGCGACGCATCAATCTAGGCTGGAGCGCCTTCGGCAGACACAGTAGCATACTAAGAGGCTCTTTGCCAGTATGTTTAAAAAGAAAAAAGTCTGAGCAATATGTTCTACCAGTTATGACCTATGGATCAGAAACATGGACTACAACAGGAAACTAATAAGTGCCCATCGATAGATAGCGCACCCATCGATCGAGGGATATATGGAGGAATTCATCCCAGGATTGATTAAAGGTAAAATAAAAATAAAATGAAATAAAAGGCAACAACTTGTGATATATGACTGAGTTTTCATCAGTTTGGGGTGATAATTTTGTCAGCAGGAGAGTGACACTAAAATTACTGAATAAGATGTGATATGATTTTTTGTCAGTTGGGATGATGATTTAGTCAGCAGAGAGTGACACTAAATACTGATGACGATGATGATTTGTCATGTCTTAGTCGGGAGAAATAGAAGATCCCCGAATTTAAAAGCTAAAAAGTATTTAATATCCATGGGAGGGGAAATGGAATTGATAAAAAGATAAACACATAAAGACGTGGGAGGAGATGACTTGGAACACCAGATAACTTTAATAAATTTCCAGGATCGAACGGGGACAAATTCGCTTAGCTTTTCTATAACCTGAATCTATTGCAAGAATGGATTTCCTCTGGGCATATGATTAAAAAAGGAAATATGACAAAAAAAAAGACCAAGCAGCAATGTAGACTAGTTGCATGTAGCGTCCCTGTAACCAGTAGTTACATAGTGGATTTTTAGACTTAGACGAAATCTTAACACTGCCAATGGCTAATATTTATAAAACCTAATAATTCTTTTGCTTATCTTTTTCTAAACAAGTGTCTAGTGTGAATGCACATGGCATTTTGTAATAAAAGCATTTGCTAGTTTGTATAAAACTAGCCACTGAATTGAGCGACTTTTGCTTATGAGCAAATTAAGTAAATGGAAAATTCATATTTTATAAAACTGAAACTAAAAATGAAACACAAACATAAAGTGTTTTTATTGCATTTGAATTAAACTTTTTTTTTTTTTTTTTTTTTTTTTTTTTTTGCCATATTAAAACTAAAAATGAAACAAACGTAGTTTTTGGAATTAGTGGTTGAATTAAAACTTTTTTTTTCTTAAGAAGGAAATGGCTTTGTAACTGGTGGTACCCTATAGGTTAGGAATAGTAATTAGGAATACCGTTGTAGTCACCCAGGTCTATAAAAGAACATTTCTTAGCCATGGACGTTCGGGCCTTGGACTAAGAGATGTGCTTGTCGTCCCAAGCGGTGAGAAGAATCTAATGGTGAGCAGCCCCAAGTTTCTGGCGAAATCTTCAATGTTGTGAAAGGATCCATATTGGAGAGTCGCAGCACAGTGGTTACAAGAAGGTTGTGGACCACGCCCTGCGACATTATTTCGGGATAACTCGCGGCGTCATACAAGAATACTGCAAAAATTGTCCTGTTTGCCAACTCAGCCATCCTCAAGTTACGAAACAACCACTTCGCCCTATTGTACACAGCGACTTCCTGGAGCGGATCCAAATAGACCTTATTGACACCCCCTGTCATCCAAGCTCGACCTGCGCTGAAGAGAACTAAGGGAAATACGGCTGCAGCATTATTAAAGAAAGATTGCAGCGACATCGATAAGAGCACATGGTTGAATAACTCAAATGAGAACATCAAAACGAACTTTCGAAGGTAGAATTTTCGAACATCTCCGGCTTGCAAGATACCGTCCTGTAGCAGAACTACTCATTTTCCATTCCACCAGATGAATTCATTCAATTCCTTCACGTCAACGGTAACCACTGGATCACAATCTCCAACACGGGTGAGATTGAATAGTGTGCTTATACCTACGCCTGAAACCATCAAAACAATCGAAAAGTATCTAAACTGCAAAGAGGAAAAAAATATTTTAAAGGCGATGAACGTCAACAGACAACCAAACGCAAACGATTGTGGATTATACGCCATCGCTTAAGCAACAACTCTCTCATTTGATGATCCCACAGAAATGAACTACGACGAAAAATCGATACGGTTCGGAAAATGTATCAACGACGGAATTATTTCATGGTTTCCCGCCAAATTCGCCAGCTCAGAGTGGTCCACCAATCCGACACGAACTTTTATTGCAATCGCCACTGCCCGGATGATGGAAATCTGGTGGAATGCGAAGGATGCGAAGAAATATTTTACGCCGAGTGACTGAACCTAACGAAAAAAGCAACACAGCAATGTAAATTGTGCAAGGCGTACTTACGAAAAGAGAAAAGTGGACTTTTACTTTGGATTTTATTATCTTTATTATTATTATTATTATTTTTGTGCTTTTTTGACTGCTGTATGGGTCATGTGCTGTTTGAATAAAGATTGTAGAATGAATATATCAATTTACTGACATTAGTCTGCTTTGAGGTCTACATTTTTAACTCTTCTCTTCAAACCTACTTTCCCTGAGGTGCCCTTTTCATGCAGACTGAAAAATATCAAGATCAAGCAGAATGAAAACAAGATGTATAGTTGCAACCTGGTCAGGAAATTGCTTCAATTGCTATCAATCGATGGCGAAGCGCGTTTTATCGATCGTTTACAAAGCTCCATCGTTGTCCTTTTTCACCAACTGATGCATACTGAGAAATATCAAAGTATATGTATATATTGACAATATATATGTGTATATATATATACATGTTTATATATGTGTGTATATATACGTGTTTATATATATATATATATATATATATATATATATATATATATATATATATATATATATATATAATATTTATTGACACATATGTATATATATGTATATATATGTATATATGTGTGTGTGTGTGTGTGTGTGTGTGTGTGTGTGTGTGTGTGTGTGTGTGTGTGGGATGTGGGTGTGTGTGTGTATATATATATATTTGAATATATATTTCCTCATTGTATAGGGGGACATTAAAAGAATACTTCCAACGTATGTCACTGTGTCGTAAAGGCGTCTACGAGAGCCCCTACCAACTCGCACTGGGCCAGCGTGGTAGGGTATGGCCCACACTCTCCCCATGATCCATGTCCGAAGTAACTTTAAGGCTTTTCCGGTGGAGTCAAAGAGTTTCATGGCATCGGTTTCGGGAGACTAGAAATAACAATGTGGAAAGAGTCTGGAAAGGCCTATGTCCAACATCGGATTTATAAAGAGGAGGCTGAAGGAATGGAATAGAATAGAATATACATTTACACACACACGTATATATATATATATATATATATATATATATATATATATATATATATTATATATATATATAATGTATATATATATATATAGAGAGAGATAGAGAGAGAGTATATAAACCTCTCTGTTCGGGGATCGTTCCCGCCGCTAGATCGTGAGGCGGCCACTCTATCCATTACTCCACCACTCAACAAAAGGATTGTGCAACCAGGTGCAATCTAGCGCCATGGATTTTCCCTAACTTCTCATACCTGAGTCAGTATAGCGAGATTTTACACACAATCCTCGTGAGCATTCGGGACTTATGGAAAGCAGATCAAACCCCAAATCAGTTAACCTGAAGTATATTAATGAAAGATGGAAACAATGCACTACCGCATTTTTATCATGAGTATATAAACCTCTCTGTTCGGGGATCGATCCCACGCCGCCAGATCGTGAGGCGGCCGCTCTATCCATTACTCCACCACTCAACAAAAGGATTGTGCAACCAGGTGCAATCTAGCGCCCGAACAGAGAGGTTTATATACTCATGATAAAAATGCGGTAGTGCATTGTTTCCATCTTTCATATATATTATATATATATATATATATATATATATATATATATATATATATATATATATATATATATATATATATATATATATATATATGTATGTATATGTGTATGTATATATTTGTGTGTGTATTTCTGTGTTTGTTTGCGTATATTAATGTGTATCTACATATGTACATGTGTATATATATGAGCATATGTCTGTGAGTATGAGCCTTGCTCTATTGTAATATGGACAAGTAGATTGGTTTATATATATATATATATATATATATATATATATATATATGTATGTATATATATATATATATATAATATTATGTATGTATATGTATATATGTATGTATTATATATATATATATATATATATATATATATATATATATGTGTGTGTGTGTGTGTGTGTGTGTGTGTGTGTGTGTTGTGTGTGTGTAAACATATATGCATATAGATAGATAGATAAATAAATAGATGAATAGATGAAGGTAGATGAATCGACTGAAAGTAAAACAAGAAGGAAGATAGGAGGATATGCGGAAAATATGTGTACATATTACTTTACGTAATAGCCAGAGCCAAATCACCTATTTGTAGTAACAATTGATCAAATCGCGCTTCATATCGAAAGAGGGTAAACATAGGGGACTAGTTATCTTGTTCATTTATTAGTTATCTCAGAGTCGGGTGAAGGATCCCCAACTAAAACCCGTAGCCCTTTTTGGGTTGAGCAGATCCAGTCCTGGAAGAAACTGGACCAACGTTGTTGCTTGCAAAGGAAGAGCCAGATGTGGCAGCTGAGCCAGGGCCAAAGGCAGCAATATCAGCTCGGCCAGAGCCCGTGCCAAAGCTACCGACTGGGCCAGGGCCAAAGCTAGCGCCACCAGTTTGAGTAGGTCCAAAGCTGGCACTATCAACTGGGCCAGGGCCGAAGCCAGTTTGAACAGGGCCAAAGCTACCAGTGCCAACTGGGCCAGGGCCAAAGCTACCAGTGTCAACTGGGCCAGGGCCAAAGCTACCAGTGTCAACTGGGCCAGGGCCAAAGCTGGCACCACCAGTTTGAACAGGGCCAAAGCTACCAGTGTCAACTGGACCAGGGCCAAAGCTGGCTCCACCAGTTTGAACAGGGCCAAAACTACCAGTGTCAACTGGACCAGGGCCAAAGCTGGCACCACCAGTTTGAACAGGGCCAAAGCTACCAGTGCCAACTGGACCAGGGCCAAAGCTGGCACCACCAGTTTGAACAGGGCCAAAGCTGGCTCCACCAGTTTGAACAGGGCCAAAGCTGGCACCACCAGTTTGAACAGGGCCAAAGCTACCAGTGTCAACTGGGCCAGGGCCAAAGCTGGCACCACCAGTTTGAACAGGGCCAAAGCTACCAGTGTCAACTGGGCCAGGGCCAAAGCTGGCTCCACCAGTTTGAACAGGGCCAAAGCTGGCACCACCAGTTTGAACAGGGCCAAAGCTACCAGTGCCAACTGGGCCAGGGCCAAAGCTGGCTCCGCCAGTTTGAACAGGGCCAAAGCTGCCAGTGTCAGCAGGGCCCGGGCCAAAGGCAGCACTTCCAGCTGAGCCAAAGTCGTCCCTTCCTGCAGGTCCAGGGCCAAAGGAGCCAGGTGCAGGACCTGCGCTGTAGGCGGTGGCTTGGCCGTGGGCTCCGCCGTGGCCACTGCTGGGGAGGGCTCCTTTGCCGACGAGCACGGCGCGGACCACGCTGCCGCCTCCGCTACCGCGGCCTCCGTGCCCTCCGTGCCCTCCGTGCCCTCCGTGCGCCCCGTGCCCGCCGCCAAGACCGACTCCGAGACCCCCGGAGAAGCCACCGCTGTTCCTGCCTCCGTGGGCACCATAGCCGCCTCCGCCAGCGACCGCCATACACACCATCGCCATCACGGCAGCTGCTTGTATCTGGTGAGAATATTAAAGGCTGCCTTAGTTTCGGTGAATACTTCCCAAATGGTATGGGATTTTGTAATGTATGCAAACCTATGCTTACATACATACGTAGTGACAGTAGGTGAATGTGAATACAGATAGACAGATAAAGAGATAGATTGAATAGACATATACCGTGTGCATGTGCGTATTTTGTGGTATATATATATATATATATATATATATATATATATATATATATATATATATATATATATATATATATATATATATATATATATGTATACATATAAATGTGTGTGTGTGTGTGTGTGTGTGTGTGTGTGTGTGCATAAAAAAAATCCGTGAAAGGAAACTAGTGCCATCTTGGGCGGAAAATCAGGCCACCGTCTTACTTGGCGGCGAAGGGGATTCATCCTGGGAGGCTGCCTGGCACTGGAAGCTGCAGGATCGAGAGGCGAAGGATGTGTAGCACTGCTCGGGCCAATCCTCGCATTTATACTAGGAGGTGTGACACGTGACCTTGTGAAGGCCTATGCTGTGCTTCGTTCGCGTCCTTGGGCTGTAGTTACTAGTTTTTCAATGCAAGCAAATTCGCTAAAACATGCTTTGTAATGGTCGCTAAGAACAAAAAAATATATATCACTTCATCGAAAAGAATCATCCTGGGTATCATAATTATGCTAATATGGTTTACGTTTTCGTACCATGAATTAATTAAGATTCATTGACTTCGAAAGATGTTTATTTTTTTTCAAAATTGTTGCTCCACCTATAAATGAATTTATAACTATAAATGAACTACTATAAACTATTTCGTCTTTGTATTTCCTATAACTAAAAGGACGATTGGACTGATATGCAAATATGTATTTACGAATGTATATATGTATTTCGTTAGGTATACATTTTTGTACACAAACAACACACATGTAATATATATATATATATATATATATATATATATATATATATATATATATATATATATATATACATATACATATACATGTACATATATATCTATATGTATATCTATATGTATATATATATATATATATATATATATATATATATATAATATATATATATATATATATATATATATACATATGCACATATACATATACATATATATCTATATATCTATATATATATATATTATATATATATA